TTTTGAAACAGGTATTATTATTGGGTGGGGTGGGGCTCTTAATTTCACAGGGGGGAAAACATGTTCAGAGAAGGAAAGGGACCTGCTCAAAGTCACACAGCAGTGCCTGGGCTGGAACACAGTTGCCCTGCCTTCTTTTTGTTACACCTTCCATTTCCAAGGTGTGGAGGGGGATATAGGCACAGGTGCCAGAGACAGCTGTGGTTGAGCCTCAGCCCCTCCTACAGTCTCAGGTAGTGACCCAGCCTTCCTGAGGTGCCGCCCATCCAGATGGCTGCCACAGCCTCCTCAAAGCCCAGAGTTATTTCATCTGGCCACAGGCTGAACCTGGTGCTCAGTCAGTGCGGGCACCCCGCCCCAGCCCAGGGCCCTGAGAGGGCAGAGCTTGAATATCTTATAGGAGCTGGCACTCCTGTGAAGCTGTGGGTGGGAGGTAGAGGACACCCCTCCAAGGGCAGGGTTAGGGGCCTGTGAAACCCAAGACTCCTGGAGGTCAGTAAGAAGTGGGAGAATAGGCAGGTCATCTGGAATTTTTATTTTTCACTGAGCTGAGAGAGGAAATCCAGCTATGGAATCCAGAGAGAGTTCTACAGGAACAGAACAGAAATTGGCTGGGCCCTGGGCCCAGAGAAGGCCCGGAGCCACCTGGGCTGCTGTTCAGTGCCAGCTTCATCCTTGGCACTAGGCCCCTCACAGCATCACTCAGCTTCCGAGAGCCGGAACCCACGGTGGCAGCCGCTTAAGGCTATGGCTGCAGCTGCTGCCCTACCCAACGAGGGCTGTGGGGTTGACTCTTAGGGGCCGGGGAGGCCAAGCTAGAAAGTCTTAGAAATCACCCAGTCCATTCCCATTTTATAGATGATGAAATAAGGCCCAGAAAGGGCACTGGGTTTTAAGGAGAATAAATGTGGAGACTTGAACTCAGGCCTCCTGACTGCTTGAGGGTGTCTGCCTCAAGCCCCTCTCTAAGCGCATCTGAATGTCGGTGTCTAGAGGAGCTAGGCACCCAGGGGAGCTGGCCTGTGTTTGTGTTTGCGTGGGCCAGGATGCATCTGCGGCATATCCCTCTGCATATGCCAGGGTCTCTGTGTCCCTCTGTGTGTCCCTCTATGTGTGCTTCTATGTTCAGGAACTTGGGGCCATGGCCAGAGAGGGTCGGGCCTATTCTTACAATATTGGGAGGCCTTCCCAGGCTGAGTAGGGATGGTGGGTCCTGAGGGGTAGGGTGAGGAATGGGGACTTTGGTCCCATTGGAGAGGGAGAAAGCAGAAGGCAGATTGGAGCCATGGATGAGAAGGGTCCTGGGGCTGGCCTGGGGCAGGGTAACAAAGCCAAGATGGGATATGGGTCCCTGGAATTTGAGGCATGCTGTTAGCACTTATGTGGGGCCAGCCCTCTGGTCACCCCAGTGGGCAACCCCAGGGGAAGTAGTCACATGATGTGGCACTTCTCAGCTGATTGCTTGAGGTCCCCCAGTGTGGTCTGGGCCTTGTCCTTAAGTGAGCCAAGGTCCAAGCCAGGGAGACTGGGCAGCTGCCCAAGGACCGAGGCCCTTTCCTCCTCCTCCTCTGTGTCCTCCTCAATCATCTTGGCCAGCTCCCGGGGCAGCTCCACGTCTCCACCTGCCATCTGGATCTGGCTCTCATCTGTCTCATTCTGAAGGGAAGAGGAAAAGGAGTGGGGTGGGGTTGGAGGTCTGTGAGAACCCAGAGTTGAGTGGCAGGGAGGAGGCCTGGGCTGGGTTCCAGGCCCCAAGATTCTGGAGCTCCATGTTCCAGTGAGCTCAGTCCCCCTCCCCCATCCCAGGATCAAGCTTTTGACGCTTGGATATGGAGACCTTGCACTTTTACACCACCTCACTTCACTCTGAGATGCTGAAGGTAAGACACTAGCATAGTGAGTAATGACAACATGAAAATCCTTCAGAGACAGACTGAGTCAGCTAAGTCGTGTGTTGACTATCATTAACTACACTGAAGGATGTTACCAATCACAGTGATGGGTTCCGTTCACCAAACACCTATCCTGTGGCTGACACTGAGCTGAGTGCTTTTAATTCTCACAACAACGCTGTGAGGTAGGTATTGTTTTCCCCATTTTACAAAAAAGGAAATTGAGGCTCAGATAACTTAAGTAACTTGCCCAAGGTCACACCACTAGGAAGTGAGGGAGCTAGATTTAAACCTATGTCCCTGATTCCAACATCTGTGCTCTCCTTGCACAGCACCTGCCTACTGGTTGTCATTGCACTTCCCTGTCCCTTTGGGGGCCCTGGGGCTTTCCACTTTATGTCCTACTGAGTTACAGCCAAGTCTGCTGTCTCCTACTGGACTCAGTGTTCCCCGATGGCAGAGTTGTGTCTCTTATACGCTTAGTGCGAGCATTGGAGGAATGACTCCATTCCTAGCTGAGTTTAACTCTCCCTTTGAGAGATTTTCAAAAGACTAGTGTGCTGTGGGGAGTCAGAGGCAGCCACGGGCTCAGTGAACATTTGTTGAGTGAGTGAATGTGACATTCACATATCTGATCTTCCAATTCAAGTGGAAGATCAAGGTCAGGTGTACCGTAGCCTGTGCTTCTGTTTCTCTTCAGAGTCTAGCACAATTCTGGGCACGGGGAGTGGCTTGTGCCTCGGTTCCCTCCTTAGGCAACAGGAGTAGAACACTTACATGGTTATCTCATGCTGCAGTACCTAGGGGAGACATCCTCCTGGCTGCTTGGCCAGCCAAAGGGGTTCCTTTGCTCTCTGCAGACAGACTTCATACTCTGGAAGGCAGCAAGGGGTCCGGGAGCAAGTGCAGGCTCAGCATGCAGAGGCTTGATCTCTGATCCCGGTTCCATCACTCGCTGGCTGTATGGCCTTAGCCAAGTCCCTTAACCTCTCTGAGCCTCAGTTTCCTTATTTGTAGGTGTGGGTAGTAGCTACCTGGCAGAGTCACTGAGGGGTTAGGTAAGGGTGTGAAGGTCAAGTGCCTGGCCCACAGAAGGTGCTGCCTTCTTTCCACCCACCTCCCTCCCTGGGTGTTCAGAAGCCCCAAGAGATTTTACCTGTGGTAAAATCTACTGCCTTCCAATTCTCCATCTGCCTAGGCCTGACTCTGGGTTGGGCGAGTGGGGGTTGGAGGAGAGAAGGGGCCTGGAATGGCTCCAGAAACACAAACCTATCAGTCCCCCGAGGACTGGCTTGGCGGGCTCCAGTTAACAGTGAATGAATGAACGAGTGAGAGAACCCATGATTTAATCAAACACTCCCTGAGAGCTGCGGCGCCGGGAGCGGGGCAAAGGAGTCCGGAGCCCAGAGCTCAGGGGTCCCGGTGGTGCCTTACAGCCCGGGCTCCTAAGCTTACCTTGGGCAGCCGGTATTTGTCTCGGAAGTGGCTCCGCAGCGTGGCCCGCTCTGCCTTCCTCTGAGTGAACTGCGCGTCCCGCTCCATCCTGTGGGGGCACCGGGGGCGGAATCACTGCCCGGGCTGTGAAAATGGGCGGGGTCTGCGAGGAAGGGGCGGGAAGGGTCTCTGGGTCCTGGCCGCAGTTTGCATCCCTCCTGCCCGAGGGCCTGTATTTTGGGTGCTCGGTGCTCTGACCAGCCGGAATTAATCTTTACTGCCTCTCCCAGCTATCACAGAGCCCTTTATCGCCTCCGTACCCGTCGCTGGACGGGAGCTATCGGGGCGGGGGTGTCTGTCTGGCTGTCTCTGCGGACCCTAACATATGTCCCTCGCGGTCTCCGACTCGGTCTTTTCCTTTCCTGACAGGTTGTGTCGTGTGGGGCGAAGTATTCAGGACAGACATGGGTTCGCGTCCTGAATCCACTACCACTTTATGTCTTTGAGTAAGTCACTTACCTTCCTCTTTTGTAAAATGGGGATAAGACTTTGCAACTCACAAAACTGTTATCACGATTAAGTGAAATAATAGCTAACCTTTAATGATTTGCCATGTTCCAGGCGCTCCGCTAAGCAGTTTATGTGCATTAAGTAATTTAACCCTCATAAATATATAAGGCATGTTTTATTACCATTGCCATTTTACAGAAGAAGATACCGAGGCACAGAAAGGTTAAGTAACTTGCCTAGGGTCACCCAGATAAAAAGAAACGAAGCCAGGATCTGACCCAAACAGCTTAGCTGTGGAGTTCAGCCCCTAACGCCACCCCAGCTCCCTCTCTGTCCCAGCGTCGTCCTCACACAAGTAGCCTCAATTATCTATGAGTGCCCCCATCTCAGGATCTGTCTCCATGACTGATTCCGCCTCAGCTGCACCGCTTTTCTCAGAGCCTCAGGCTCAGAGGAGCTCCAGCTGGAAGACACAGACGGCTGGGACCAGATCGGATTAAGGGATTACTTGTTTCGTCAGAAACAAGTAATGCACGTGCCCTCACCTTGTCCCAGGCCCCTATCTCCCCGTCCCCCACTCCTGGGCCCGAGTGTGGAGCGGGGTTCTGGGTTTGAGATGGGATGGCTCTGAGGGCAGCCTAGAGGGCGCATCCCAGCCTCTCACCTCGTCTAGAAAAGTAGGGGAGGGGCTCGGGGTCTGAGACTGCCCTAAGGGTGGGCCGCGCAGCCCTTGGGGGATGGGGAGGGCTGCTGGAGCCAGGAAGGGATCCCACTCACTTCTCTTCCACCAGTTGCTTCTGGTATTCCTCATACTCCTCTCGGCTCATGCCCTGCGCTTCGGCGGCCGACTTGTCCCCGTCCCCCTTGTCCTCGCCGCCCCCCAGGCTCCCAGTAAGGTTCTTCAGCTGGCCGCCCACCATGGTCTTCACCATGAACGCCATGGTCTTCGCTGGCCCGGGCACCGGGCGCCGGGTACCACGCGGCGGGCACCCAAGCACGTCCGCGCCTACTTCAGCACTACGGCTTACGGACAGCTCCTGCCTGCGGCAGGAGCCCCACGCTCTGCACCGCCCACCGCCCGCCCCTGTCCGGGCCCGCCTCCAACTCCCCAAACCCCTCCTCACAGGGGGCGGGGGGCATGCACGGGGCTGAGGAGGCGGGACCACGTGCTCGCTCCTCACACCCGCCTACCCCACGTGCCTCCTTCAATGCCAAGCTCCTCTGGGCACTGCTGCCAACGGATTGGGGCCGGCCGCGAGGGGTTCGGGGAGGGGGTCGCCCCCCAGGGGAACGAGCTGTGCTGTTATGCGCCTAGTACACAGCTCCCTATTCTCCCGCCCACTTCCTCCTCCCCCGGGTAGCCAGGATTTCAGCTGGGAATGCGAGTAGCCCTGGTCCCTCCCCAACCTTCTTTCCAACCCACTGCCCCAGCAGCTGCCCAGAGAGCTTGACACTGGGAAAGGGAGGGAGATCAGAGAGCAGGGAATCCCAATTATGGCTCCATGGGTTGCCTCTCAGAGCTCTGGGTCACACGCCTGCCCTGCTGACCCCTGGAGCTACAGGGAGCATCGAGAGAGAGTTGTTCATGGTGATGCTGCCTGGGCTGGACCAGGAGGCACCACTCCTTGTTCTGGCTGAATTTGGGGACAGAATTATACACAGCTGTGACTCCATCTCCCACCATAGCCCAGGGTTCAAGGCCTGTGGGGTATCTGGTCTTTTGTCAGTCAAGCCAGTCCTTGGCCTTCTTGCCTGCTTGGAGCCCACTCTCAGCTACCATCTAGAAGAGGTTGCCTTCAGAGAGATTAAGGTGAAGCTGGAAGGTAAATGAGCATATCAAAGCATGAGGAGAGGGAAATCAGGTTGGAGCTCCCCAAAAGCTAAGGTGTGGGTAAGAGCTGGGTACCCAGAGGCAGAGGACACTGGCCAAGCTCTCCACCTCCCAGGCATAGAGTGACTTCCTAGGGATGAGAAGTGGACATTTCTTCAGGGCGTTGAGGTAGGTCACCCATGTATGCTGGGGGAGAGGGGCTGCCTCCTCAGAGCCCCCAGGGTCCTAGGGACTTGTAGTGCAGGACTCAAAGGAAGGCTGCCTGTGGACAAATAGTCCTGAAGGTTCTTGTCCAGCTTGCTGCCAGGGAGAGAAGAAGTTTACTTGGGCTTCTCCCTTCTGGGCTCTTGAGACCAGGCTCCTTATATTTACTACATCCACCTCCCTACACTCACTGCACCATAGCACCCCCTGCTCTGGGGCCTTCTATGGCTCCCTTGGCCTGCTCCATCAGTACCACACTTTCCTCCTGGCATTCAAGGTCTGTCCAGGTGGTTCCAGCCTTATGGCCACCATTGCACTCATATAACACATAAGCCTGTCATCATTTCCACCTCATACCTTTGCTGTTCTCCACATCTGCCGGCCATCCCCTCTCCCATTGTGCTTTTAAAACAGCACACTTCACTCCTCCTCCAGGACCGTCCCAGCGCACACTGATTCTTCTTGTCTTGAAATACCACCAACAAGGACTGTCCCGTTTCTAAGCTCCTTAGCACACCTTACATCTCTAAGTGTTTCATTCATTTACGAACACTCATTAAGCAGAAACGGTGACCTCCCCCCAACCTTTTAAATTCTCTTTGCCCAGTTTCACAAACTGGTCCCACCCTTTGCTCTACAGTATTGAACTTGCCACTTTTTCTCCAAAATATATATTTTTTCATGCTTCCATGCCTTTTCTCATGCTTTTTCCTCTATATCAATGCCTTTACTTATCTTGTCAGGCTGGAAATCTCCTAGTGGCCTTGAGGACCCATAGCAAATGTCCCTTCCAGGTGATTCCCTGATCTCCCCAAGCTGGCTCAAGTACTTTTTCCTGCACTCTTATAGCCCCTGAGCTTCTTGCCATCATGGCATTGACCACAAAGGATGTGACTGTCAGTTACTTGTCAGTTTCTCACATTGGAGAGTGAGTTCTGTGAGGGTAGGACCTAGATGGGCCCAGCAGATGAGCAGTCAGTCAGTAGTCTCTATTGAAAAAAAGGGTCCAAACTTGGGTGCTGCTTCTTGCCAGCTGGGGGACCATGCAGGTCCCCCGCTGGGCCTCAGTATCCCCTCTCTCAAATTGAATGGCTATGGCCCAGACCCAAGAGATGCTAGTTAGGTGTGGGAAGTCCTGCCATGGGAAGGCCCACCTGAAGTGTACATAGCAGAAGAAGCCTGCAGTCTGGATGAGGAGGAAGAACAGGAAGATTCCAGGCTGCAGACACGAGGAAACCCCTGGGGGCTGACCAGGTGGGCAGGAGTCCTTGGCTGCCGCTTTCTGAAAGGAGATGTTCTAAGATCCTGGATCAGCTTCTTACCCAGAAGGAGGGAGGGGACCTAGAATCTGGGCCACTGTTGGCTTTGTTTCCCTCTCCCAGTGTTGGGGTACCCTGACTCTCATCCAGGGAACTTGGAGAGAGGGCAGAGTACAAAGCTGCCTCCCCACCCCAGATCCCATGGCTCCATCTGTGGGAACATCTGGGAGGGCCTGGGGCCTGGGATCTCCAGGGGGCCGAAGTCTCTAGAGATAAGCAAGAGAGAGAAGTAGAGAGCAAAAGACAGAGTGATGGAGAGGGCAAGGAAAAGAGCAAGATGGGGCGGGGCACAAGGAAGAGTGGACTTCACCATGAAGCTTTGAATGATCTTGGGCACAGCCTATTCCCGTTTATCTTCTGGTCATTGTGGAAGCTGGGCCAAGTGGTCTCCAGGGCCCTGCTGGTACTGAGAGTCTGTGGGACTCTCCAGAGAGCAGAGAAGGCAGAGAGAAGATGAGATCTGTGTGCCTGCATGCCTGTGTGCATGCACGCACAGACACAGACACAGGTGTGCCTGACAGGAGTCCCAGGAGGGGAGGGCAAAAGCAGGAGGCGCCTGGGGCTGCAGAAGTGCTGGAAGAAGGGGGCTGAGCCCCACGCACCCCCCCCTTCCTTGCCCCTCACCACTGGACCCCGCAGGTCCTTCTGCAGAAGGCTCAGGATCTGGGCCAGCTCTAAGAAATGATGCTTGGTGCCCACAGGCAGATAGAAGACCTGGGCTCTTGAGGCCATGTGAGCAGCTGCATCCCTGGTGCAGGGTGGAAACCAAGGGAAAGAGCTCATTATCCCCTCTGATTGCACCCAAACTGCCTAACCATTTCTCATAATCCCCAAAGGCAGCACCTGGGTGAGAAATAGACACCATCCATATGGCTCCTTTTGGGGACTGGTCTTTTTACCCCAGAGCTTCTCCTCAAGACAGCTTTAGCTCAGAGAAGCACCTCCCTAAAGCTGTCTGTCTCAACCCCAGGCTTCCTGGGCTCTGCCTTCAGTCTCTGGCCCCCAGGCATCTAGATGTAAGGAGGAGGGCTGGGGTTGGGGTGCAGCCACAGCATACAACCTGAAGCCATCCTCCTCCCATGGCATCAAGGTGACCCCCTGCCCCCAGGGCTCCATGGGTAACTCCAGAGGCCTGGCCTAGAGAGGGCTGCTGGGAGGCCGGAGGAGGGTAAAATGAAGTCATGGACTGCCCACTCCCCAGCTGGGCCTGATTTTGGTTGTGCTCCCTCCAAGAACCCCATCAAAATGTTCCCCGCTGGGACTTCCCTGGCAGTCCAGTGGTTAAGACTCCGTGCTGCCAGTGCAAGGGGCGCGGGTTCGATCCCGCATGCCGCGTGGAGTGGTCAAAAAAAACCTTCCCTCCTTCCAGAAGCTATCACTGAAGGAAGGCTCAAATTTACTAACCCTCCTGGGTGAGAATGTCTCAGGGAGTTGTGCTTAAACTAGGAGTTTCAAAATTTTAACTTGATTCAGTTCATTTCAGGTCAGTTCAACAAACCTAACTTGGCCCCTAGCCCCTCGCTATGCTCCAGACTTTGTGCTGGGTGCTCGGGAAACGATGAAAGGAATAAAGGACTAATGGGGGGGGGTCTTCAGGCAGAGAAGCCAAGTTGGTGGATGGGGACTTCTCCTTCCTCTCCCCCAGGATCCTCATCTCCCTGTGCCCTTACCTCATCTCTTGCAGGTCTTGGAGCAGAGTCCGCTGTCCACGGAGTAGGGCACTGACCTTAGCTGAGTCCTGCAGGAGTGCCAGCCTCTTCTCTAGGGCCCAGGGCACAGCCCCTCTCTTTTCAGAGTTCACCTTCCCCAGGGATTTGCAGCCCTCTTCCTTCTAGAGGCCTTACACCATTACCTGGGCCCTCCTCATTTGGGATACATTAGGTTTATCTAACCCTCTCCACCTGGGCTTCTGACTCCCGCCTCCTCTCAAAGCCTTTCCTTGAGGATGGTGGCTTCCCCCTTGACAGTGGCCAATTGGGAGCTTTCTCAAAGTTCCTCCCCTTTCCAGAAGTGGTTCTGCCCCAAAAGGAGGCCAGTCCTCTCCTCCCCACTTCCCCTAGGGCACAGTCAACTCCCGGTGCTTGGGTCGTTGGCCACCTCTTTCAGGGGTGGGTAGAACCTGGCAGGGGGAGTCCTGGGCCTGGCCTTGGAGTGTGGCCTCCCTCCCCTCTGCCCCACTCCAGCAGCCCAGCCTCAGCTGCTCTGTCCTGAGGACATGATTCAAACCTAGAGCTGTCAGAGCCCAGCAAAGCTCACAGGAGCCGCTGGCCTCTTCTGCTCAGCATCTAACATCTTGACTGAGCTCAGCTCTCAGGCCCCAGGCTGGGTCTGCCATGGGACATGACTCCCAAGGGGAGAAGCCAGGATGGCAGTGGAGGGGAAATGAGGATTCTGAGCATTAAGCAAGCGTATGTGAATCAAATCACACGTGGAGCTACATGCAAATAAACACCCGGTCTATTTCTGTCACTTGTCTGGAGACCCACATCTAAATACGTGGCAACTCATTTCCCCAGCCCCAGCTGTGGGGCTCTGTGAGCCTTCGCTTGTGCAGAGCCGCCCTCCTGCCCGTTCCCCTGCCTGGCAGGTCCACCCCATCTGCGACCTGCAGCATTTCACCCCTGCCCTCCGTTCCCTCCAGGCCTTGGGGGAGACTAGTTCCCAAATGCGGTGCTTGCTCCTCTTTCTGGACAGAGGGAGCGCACTGGTGCCATCAGACCCAGTGCCTATGGGGCTCAGCTTCTCCAGGCCTGCAGGCAGACCCTTGGATGCCTGAGGGGCCACTCACCCAGGCTTCCTCGGCCTGGCCTGGCCTGGGGACACCAGCTGCTTCTTCCATTGCCTCTCAGCCTGTGCCAAGTGCTTGGAGAGACCCTGGAGAGCCTGCAGAATCTGGCTGTGTCTGTGCAGTGTCTCCTCCAGGGCAAAGCTACTTCCCCCTGGGGATAGGGGCAGAGCTGGGACAGGCAGCCGGCAGCTGGGGTGGGGCAAGAGATCCTATCTTTCGAAGGCTTCTTGGAGGGCCAGAAAGGTGTGGCTTCTGCCTCCAAGGCTCTCCCTTGGAAAGAGGTGTTTGGGTGGTGGGGCAGGGACAGGACACATCACCTGGGCCCCAGAACCTGCTTACATATGGCCTCCTCAGGCCTCCGTGTCCCCACTGGTTAAAGGACTCCTGGTTCGAAGGGAAGAGGATCCTGTGACCCTCAATCAAGCCCTTGCCCCACCTGCCCGTTCCCTGGGTCCCTACCCTCTTCCTGGACTTCACAGTTCGGCTTTGGAATCATGTCCTCCTTGGTGCCCAGGGCCAGCCTTGCCCGCAGCCCTTCCAGCTGCCTTGCCAGGCGGAGCTGCTCTGTCTCCAGGAAGGGCTGCAGGGGAGGCTGGAGGAAGAAGATGAAAACTTAGGCCCCAAACCCATGGGAGATCTGGGGGCCGGGGAGTCTCCTCACAGGGCCTCCCACAAGCCCAGTCCCCCTCCCTGACCAAACATTCACCCCAGGATGGGAAGACACCCCCACCCCGCTGGTTCTCTTTCCCATACAGCTGGTTCTCCTTCTGCCACCAGGCCCAGAACTTTCCAGTCCTCCCAGCCCCACTGCACTGCCGACCCTCACACCCTTCTCTCCTGCTGCAGCCCAGACCCCAGCAGCTCTCTCAGGCCTCAGACCTTTGTCCATGCCACTCCCTGTGTTCTTTCAAGCTCATCTTTGCCATGCGGTCTTCCCTGCTCTCCTGGCTGGTTAGGACCCCTCTGTGCTCCCATAGCTCCTAGTCAGGTTGGGAGGTCCTTGAGGACAGACAGGGCCTGGCTCTGGGTCACCTCTGGTCCCCAGCACTGCCTAGCACAAGACTTGGCCTGAGCAGAGCTCCATGAGCCGGTAGAGATAAGGGTTGGAATGACAGGTCTGGTAGCTGGACATGAGAAGAGCATCCGGGGAGGGAAGGGATCCCTGGGCTGCCTCTCCCCCAGCCCTACCCCCAGGGAAGGCCCAGGGCCAGCGCTACCTCTGCACCCGGCTCACGCAGACTGAAGGTCAGGAAGGACATCATGGTCATCTGGAAAGGGGGGTAGAGAGGGAAGGTAGCTCCCACCCGGCAACTCACTCACTCAGCCCTCTCTCCCCAGCCTCCATTATGTTCCTGGCAGGCAAGAGATCTGGGTGACTTTGGGCAGCTCTGACCCTTGTCTTGTTCACTTCATGGGAAAGGTGTGAGGATCAGACCAGCAGATGGGTGGGCTGTGAGGGTTGACCCACACACAGAGCCAGAGGGGGACCGCCAGTGAGTGAGAAAACTGGACAGTCCTGACCTAGAGCCATGACCACAGGCCGAGCAGCACCCTCAGGCCCAGAGCCTGGCTGCTGCTGGCAGGAGCCACCACACAGAGGCCACCTCCTCCGCGTGGCTCTGACCATGTCACTGTCCTCCTCAGAAACCGTCCATGGCTCCCCAGCACCCAGAGTGTAAAGACCAAAGCCCTGTCATCCCAGGACTCCCACCTCTGGTTGCTCCCTGCTTCCCGGCTGAGTTCCTCCACGGGTTCTGTTATATCACATCCTTTTGCTCCATTTCTCTAAATGTCCCTTGCGGCTGTCCCTCTTCCTCTTGCCACACAGCTCCCAGCTAGGGGCCCTCACCTGCCAGGGTGCTGGTGGCTGCCGAGACCCCAAAGAAACCTCCAGGGGCCAAAAGCAGGGGCCCCACATCGACACAGACCTCATCCGGGTCGTTGGGAGTGAGGTCACTGTTCAAGGACACCTGAGGGGCACAGAGGGCACGGGCCCCTTGCAGAGGGAGCCCACTCCTCTCCCCTGACCCCGGCAAGTGGATCGTCCCCACCTGACTCACTGGCTCCCCTGGCCCGGAAGGCGGGCAGCAGCTTGGTGTCAGAGTGGTGCAGAGGGGCTCGCACACCTGGTCTCACGCCAGCCCTCCCAAGCATGTGCTCAGGGCCAGTTAGGAGTCTGTGTAGGGAGGAGGATCCCTGGGGTGCTGCCTGCATGGACCAGGGACACTGTGTGGTGTCACAGGTATGTCTGTGGGGTCATGGGCGTTCATAAAGCTCGAGCCCTGTCATCTGCACTCCCTGCCTGGTGGACCCACAAAAGCAGGAGGGGAGACTCACACGCAGCCTCTGCCCCCAGTAGGTGATCTGTGCTCTGAAGGGGTAAGGCCGGTTCCGGAAGTCCTGGTGGCAGGAGCCCAGCACCCGGCTGGCTCCATCCCTGTGGGCACTTGGAATCCAGCCAGGCCGCACAGGACCAAAGGCCTAACCAGCAGGTGTGGTCCCAGAGGCCGTTCTTCCCACTGGTGCAGGACCTGTCCTTGCTGTCTAGCTCGAGCCTCCCTTGCTGTCTTCTGCTCCTGTAGCGGAAGAGAGGGGAGCGGGGAAGCAGGCCTTGCCTGGCGGAATGCTGGGACTTGGCCCTCCCTGGGACTCCTCCCTAGCGGGCAGAGCCTGGACCAACAGTGGGGTTTCCACCCCCAGTCCCCCGGGCCTCGTCCCACGGGCTTCCCTCTGGGTACGGCTTCTCTTTCCTCTCCCTTCTGCCAAGCTTGGCCTGCAGCAGGACAGACAACACGAGACTCATCCTAGCAGCCAAGGACAGTATGACCAGCCTGCCTCCCCCGCTGGGGCGGTGCCGCTAGCTCTGGGTGTTTGTTAGGAGTGTTGAGCCCGAGACGTCCTGAGTCTCTCTGGGCTTATGGACACACAGAAGCTCTCACACCAGAGAGCCTGTCACCACTGCCTTCAGCCAAGAGGGAGGCGGTGCGGGGCAGGGGAGGAGCCGTGTGACCTGGGGCAAGTTACCTCAGCTTTCCAAACGCTAGTTTCCCCACCTTTAAAATGAAGATAATAATTGAGATTCCCTCATAACATTGTTATGAGGGTCAACCAAGTAATGAATGTGAAGTACTTGGCGCTGTGCCTGGCGTACAGTAAGCTCAGGTCATAAACGTTAGCAATTATTCTAATTGTTATGAGCTAGGGGATGCCTGCCGAGAGACACTGACGAACTGGCCCAGCTACTGAGGAGGCAGCCTGGCTCAGGAGGGATGGGCAGCCACGTCATCTGAGAGAAAGAGACGGTGCAGGCAGGCAGCTGGTGCGGGAAAGGCGTGGACGCTCCATGGGCAAATCTGCCCTCGTATCTCAGCTCTGTGCACAACGGTGTGACCTGGGGCAAATCACTTCCCCTCTCTGGGCCTCAGTGTCCTCACCTGTAACTGGGCACTAATCCCCACTTCTCAAGAGTGTCAATATGAGATGATGTGAGCGAAAACACTGAGCATGGGCCCCACCTTGCATCATTTCTCTGCTCCCGCTGCCTGGGGCTGTTGGGTTGAATGAGTTGAGGACTCAGTGGGGGGTTCCCAGGAACAGCAAGCAAACTCTGGTCCCAGGCCCCGGAGGAGGAGGCACCTCTGGGACCGAGTGGGATGGAGTCCCAGGGCAGTGCCATCAGCTTAGATGAGAGACCAGAAAGGAGGGCACCGCCCAAGGAGGGGGGCTCCTCACCAGAGGCCAGGGCAGGGGCATGGTGGGCAGAGCGGGTTACCGCCAAGCCCCTAGCAGCGCAGGAATGGCGTGTGGGGCAGGCCAGGCGGGGCCTTACCCAAGCGCCTCGTAGGGGTTGTGCCCATCACTGGGCAGCACACGGATGGCAGGGCTGTTCTGTGTGGGAGGTGACAAGCAGCCTGGGCCACGGGCACAGGGAGGAGGGTGAGGGTGTGGGCGGGACGGCGGGCAGGAGACCATGACTCACCTGGGTATCCTCAGCCGAGGAGTCGAAGAGGGTCCCAATGCCGTCCCCCGAGTCCAGCGCCCCCAGGACAGAGCCTACTTGGCCCCTGTCCTGGGTGTACCACACGGCCTGCGGGTCCCCAGCTGCTCAGCTCAAGGGTCCCTGCAGGACACTGGAACCCCGGGCTCACCACCAGCCCCGCTGACTCACCCCCTCTACTGGACCTTGGTGGGGCCACTCACCATGCCCTGGGCTCCCCGGCGCCCCGGCCCAGTCACCCTCATTTGCATTTCCACCTCCCAGGCAGAGAAGAGGACACGGTTCCTGCTCCACACGGCACCATTCCGGTTCCGCATGGCTGGGGCCAGCCGTACCTCCTCCAGGCCTGGGATGGCATCTGCGGACCAGGGCAGCTCAGGGCCTGGGCCCCACCAGCCCCTGCTCCCCCATCATTCTCTCTCATTGGTCAAGGCTGGGCTCCAGGAGGAGGAGAAGGTAACATCACAGCCATTAGATAACAGGCTGGCTAGTCCGACACTGGAATCCACCGAAGAAGTGAGACCCCAGCACGGCTGGATGGGCCTTTGCCAGGGGAGGGCAACGGAGGCCAAACCCACAAAGAGCACTTTCCCCGCATTCTCGTGTAAGCCTCACCACAGGTCTGTGTAGCCTGCTTTTATAAGACCCCCTTTTATAGATGAGGAAGCTGAGGCTCAGAAAAGTTAAGGAACTCAGTGAACTGGAACTCAGCTCTGTCTGACTCCAAAGTACAAGCTTTTTCCGCCATGAGACAGATTTGTGTCCAACCCTTTGTGTTTCTCAGATGAGGAAACAGGCCCTATGAGGGAAAGGACATGCCTGAGACCACAGAACACAGGGGATCACCTGGAGAGAATAACCACGTGGACGGTCAGAACTCTAGACCCTGAACAGACACTTGGGTGTGTCCAGACGAGCTGGGCCTTCCTGATGGGGGCAGCTAGGGGACATCTCAAGGTGGGGAAAGTATGAAAGCGAAGGTGGGAACTGGTCTGCGGGACTGAGGAAAGGGTGAGGGATGGAGTGAGTGTGAGAATTACCACTGGTGCGGGCGGGGTGGGGGAGGAGGGAAGAAAGGGGTGAGAAACTGAGGCAGGCTTGGCAGGAAAAGGAGAAGGGTGATCAGAGGCCCCGCCCCTGCTGGCTCCCCTCCTCTGCGGCCTGCCAGCCTGGAACCTGGCCCAGGGCCCAGTCCCTGCCGGCCGTTCTAGAGACTGATAATCCAGCCTGTTTGCTTGGCAAAGGCCAGAGCTGGGGGCAGGGAGGCTCAGAGGCTGCAAGGCCAGGAGTGCTGGAGCCCTTGGGAGCCACCACTGCCTCTGGAGTGGCAGGCAGGAGGCAGAGATTGCCCACACCTGCCACCCTTCTGTGCTCTGCCTCATGTGGATTGTTCATGGGACCTCCCCCTAGACTGTGGGCTCCTTGAACCAGACTCAGCCCTGTGGCTCTGGGCTGGGCACACAGGGCATGGGGTGAGTCTGATACAAGGAGGAATGAATGAATGGACAGTGAGCATATCACTGTGTGGCCTTGAAGAATATACCTCTGCTACCCTGTATGGCCTGGGACACCCCAGACTTGGCATGGCCCAGAGCGTGAGTGTGGTATGGGCCTTGCCATCCTGGCCCTCAGGCATCCTGGCCCCGAGGCAGGGCCTGGCTCCGGGCTATGAGGAACAGCCCCCTCCTTTGCTTACCTCCTGTGTCTCTGCGAGGGAGGACTGGGCCTAAACCCTGCCGAGAGGGCCGGTCTTCTTAAAGGGATATTTGTTCTGGTCTCAGTTAGGAATCATGCTGTTTTTCAGAAATTTCATCTCACAGACACGGAAATACACAATGGATCTGCTTTCTCTCTTTGGTTTGTCTGCTAGGAGGCTCTGAACCAGATCCACGGCCCAACTCTGAAGGGTAGGCAGACTTCACAGCATATGTTTTGGCAACAAGCCACATTCTTGGACTCATTTCAGGCCTCAACCCTAAGTCTTATTCTTCTTGCTCACTCCTAATTTAAACTTCTCTCTATTGCATAGGTCCTTATAAGTCCTCCAGAATCTTTTTAGAACAAGACTAAGCAGAAGACAGATTCTTCGTAGGTCTGGATTTAGAAGGCCCTGGATACAAAGTATGGGCTAAGATGCTCTCATGCTTGCTTCCACCCAACAAACATACAGGGCAGGGCTGGGGCCCTCTCTGGCAAAACAGCTGGCCATGGGGATGCCTCCCTCCAGGCAGCCCCCTAGTTCTCTTGGACAGCCACAGACCCAACGGCGTGGAGCCAAAGTGTAGGTTGCTGCTGGTCCAAGTTGCCTGGTGTCTGGGACTCATCCTATGAACGTGTGTGTGTGTGTGTGTGTGTGTGTGTGTGTGTGTTCACAGGTCCAAGAGGCAGGGTGAGGGGTCCTCCAAGGAGGGGTAAAAAGAGAAGAGAGGGCTTCCCTGGTGGCGCAGTGGTTGAGAGTCCACCTGTGATGCAGGGGACACGGTTCGTGCCCCAATCTGGGAAGATCCCACATGCCGCGGAGTGGCTGGGCCCGTGAGCCATGGCCGTTGAGCCTGCGCGTCCGGAGCCTGTGCTCCGCAACGGGAGAGGCCACAACAGTGAGAGGCCTGCGTACCGCAAAAAATAAAAATAAAAAAATAAAGAGAGAAGAGAGAAGCCCCAGGGCAAAGAAGAGGAGAAGCAGAGAGGAGAAACTGAGGCTGCTGGCTGGGGGTGGGGCTGTCGTGGAGCAGCAGACAGGTCTGGGAGGGGCCCTGGGCCCCTGGCACTGGCTGCCCAGGCCTGGCCCCATCTTGGGCAGTGGCTGGTACTGGCAGGCCTGCTCCCCACCAAGTCACAGCCACCCAGAGCTGGTCAGCCCCTCCAGTGTTCCACCCTGGGCATGGCTGGCCCCCTTACCTCCGTGATGGCTCCAGAAGGGTATTCCAGCCCCAGGCAATGCCAGGCTTGGTCCTCTGAAGCTGAGCTTGTAATCAAACCTTCGCTGAGGAGGATGGCCCCACTCAGGGCTGTGAGGGTCCAGGAGTAAGAAGAGGAGGAGAGGCAGAGCAAGGGATCCAGGCCACGGACCACCAGCACTGTGAAAGGATCTGGTATCTGGGCCTAAGGGTGGATTTGCAGCTGGGAGGCCAGGGAGGGCCTCCTGGGATGGGGCCAGGTGGGGAGGAGCCGGGATGGGCCAGGAGCTGGGTTTTGGCACTGTCCTCTCCCCACCTGCCCAGCACAGACATCCTGTTCCTTCCAGGCCTGACCTCAGGCCCTGCCCGTCACTTCACCTCCAGCCTGATGGGCAGCCTGACCTCTTGCCAACCTGAGCTCTGCCCCTGCTCCTCGTCTCAGGCCATCCTTCTACCTCCCTTCTGCCCCAGCGGCTGCAGGGCCTCAGGGGTCACTGGGATGGGCCACCCTCCGCAGCTCTGTCTTTCTTCCCTGCCTGGGATGGGCCCCTACATCCTGCCTCCTTCCCACAGATGGATGTCCCCACTGTCTGGCCATTACCTACCCACCCCATCCTTCCCTATCCTGCTCTCCCTGCTGCAATACTCCGCTCTCTGCCATATTCCCGAACACTCATGCCTCCAAGCAACCTAGTTTCCTCAACAAATAAAGTATATGAAAATAGAAAGGGAGCCTTAAGAGACAGAGCAAATAAATGCAATGCATAGACTTTGTTTGGAGCCTAATTTTAACCAACTAAATGTGGGAAAAATGAGACAATTGGGGAAATTTGCACAATGGATATTTGATTAAATTAAGGAATTCTTGTTAGAATTTTTAGGAGTAATAATGGTACTGTGTAGTGTTTTGGTTTTTTTTCTTATGTCTTCTGGAGAAACATACTAAAGCTTTACGGATGAATTGACGTAACATCTAGGATTTGCTTCCAAATATCCCAGAGCTTGAGGGGAACAGCGTGCGCATGGTACAGGATTGACCTTGAGCTAATAACTGATAAAGTTGGGTTGTGGGGACGTGAGGCTTGCTTATATTCTTCTCTCTACTTTTATCTGTTTGATAATTTCCATAATAAAAAAAGTTTTTAAAAAGTAAGAAATCCTATATTTCAAATATTTTCATCCAAGTACATTTTGGTTTTCCAGCGTAGCTCGTTTGCCAAGATTTCTGGGTAGCTGAAGTTTTACTGTACTTTGTAAACCCCCAGTAGGATTAAGATTCTGAAGCTCCACAAAGTAATTAAAACCAAGGCTGTAAATGGAAAATTTTAGGACACGCTAAAAGAAGAACTTCATTTCTCTACACTAAGCCCTCAGCTACCTCCACCTGCTCTCCCGCTTCACCTTCACAGCCAAGCTGTGGAAAGGTGGGCTCCCCTCCAGCCCTGCTTCCTCGCCTCCCCCTAAGACCTTCCAGCTCCTGCCCTCCCCACCTCCGCCTCCCAGGAAAACTGCTCCAGCAAGGCCTGACGATGCCCATTCTCTGTGCCTAGCAGACAATTCTCAACACGGTCTCTGCAATGTGAAATGCTGTGGACACCCCCTCTCTTCCCCCTGCTCTGAGAAACCCTGCCCCAGGGCTCACCTGCCTCTCTGCTGCCCTGGGCCATCCCAGGAGCTGCTTCTTGGTCACTGTTCTCCCTCCCTGGCCCCTTACGGGTCACGTCTCTCCTCAGGCTCCACGTGCTACCTGGCCAAGCTCGTCCACGTCCATGGCTTCAAGCACCATTGCTGTGCCCACGATCCCCAAATCTCTACTTTCAGCCTGGCTTCTCCTGCAGCCACAGCCCCGAATGAATGTCTAACCCTGGAGTAGACCTCTCTGCTTGGATATCTCAAAGGCCCCCAGACAACACGTCCAAACCAAACTCCTCTTCTCCAACCCCCAGCACATCCTCCTCCAGGGCTGAGGGGAAATGGGTGGCACCACCCACCTTATCAAGCTGGATACTGGAATCCCCCCAGATCCCTTCCTCTGCCTCATCCTCGCATCAGCCATCAGCAAGCTCTTCAATTTGCTCCTGCCACTCTCATACGGTTACCTGATGCTTTAATCTCTCCAAGCCTCACTTTCCTTACCTGTAAAATGGAGATAATAATAGCATATATCTCCAAGAGTTGTTTGGAGGGTTACGTGAGATACTACATCCACTAGAACAAGGCGTGACAGAGCTCAGCTCAGTAAAACACCGTGTTCATCTTCCTCTCCACTTCCTACCAGCTTCCCTCGTCCAGGCCACCATCAGTCACCTCCTGTCTGGCCTCTCAGCCTCCCCACCATCTCCCTGTCTCCACTCCGGACACCACCACCCTGTTGCCAAAATCTTGGCTCTCTGTGCACCGATGCCGAACAGAAATACGGAGACAGAGTTATGGAGGAGAAAGAAAGAGCGGCTCATAGTTC